TGATTTGAGAGAGGGGAAAGCTGTCAATTGTATCATGATGAAGTCACCTTATTTATTTTTATTTTGAAAACAAATATAGAAAAACGTAATAAAAAAAATACTCCCATATAAAAAAAATCTGATTTATTACTCCACGCGTTGTCCGAATGAATATTTTCATCGATTCGTTTTCCTCTACTACACTGGGTGGTTGAAAGATTATTCACCCTACGAAGAAGTCATTTTCATAATCTATTTTTTTCCGTTGTAATTCTCTACTTGTTGACGATTTGTACCCATGCATGGACTCCATGGACTCAAACAACGTGCGGTTATTCCAACAACATAATGCACCTCGTCACTGTATCAATTTCCCCCGAATTGGTTTAAGGAACATTCTGAGATTTCCGACGAATGGTATAATTGCCAATGTCGTGATATAAACTCAATTTATAGGGTGTGTAGGAAAGGTACATTTACCCAAAGATCCAGCACCTGCAAATAGGGAACGCCCGAACTGTGTGAGAGGGGTTTGAATTCCGTGGGTGAGGAATCCTGGTAGGGAAAGATTGTCATTATATCTGTAATATAAAACCGCAAAACGCGCGATTGCAATCATTACGGTGGCAGCAAGAGTAGAGTGAAAACTCCTCTACTATGCCATCTCGCTATTTAAATAGAACGAAGAAAAAGAAACCTAAAGAATATTGTCGACGTTCTTTCAGTCTGTGATGCAGCGTTGGAATCTGAGGAATTGCCTAATAATCCAAAGAAAAAGTGACGACACACAAGCGCAAGACTATAAATATCAGACAGAGTTGAGATAGTTGGAGACGGCATGTTCCAAACACAAAGTGGGTTTAACAAGATATTAGGAACTTTCCCCATGGCGTTTGGTACGCCTGTGTATAGGCTATTAGTTTGAGACGTTGGTTAGATCCAGTGAATGAACCCAAAGAGTGCGAGTTCTATACCCAGCTAAGGCAGTGGGGAACTTTCAGAGGGGAATTAACAGGAGATAACTGATAACTGACATCCATTAAACAGGGCGCGTGGAACTAGAGCAGTCTACACCAGTGAGCGAAATAAAGGGTTAAGTTCGACATTCACCTGAAGAAGGCCGGAGCGTACAACGGCCGAAACGTTGTAATAAATATGGTATTTATCAATTCACCCACAGGAATTGAATGTGGCACAAGGCCTTTTATCGTGGGTATGTCTGAGCCCGTAGGCCCAGCCAAAAAATAAAACCCATCTAAACCCGTCCAAGGGCTAGTTCCGTCAACCTCCCCCGAACGAAACCCCACCCTTCGGCGGAGCTTCGTCGGGGTTCCTCTCTGCAAGCAGAGAGTTCGACAGACACCCGACGTTGTAATAAATATGGCGACAAAGATGAGGTCAATAGTCCGAATAATGTAAATAATGTACATAATACCTCATAATAGACAGAGACCATGAAATTGTCTGAGTATTTTCAATCATGTCGTTTTGGGGAAATTGTTTAGTTTTAAATTTCAGTAGACATGTTATTGCATGCACGTGATATCATATGCAATAAGATTTTTAACTATATATATATATATATATATATATATATATATATATATGATGCGCGTGTGTGTAAAATTGATATATATATTATTAGCATTAGACAAATTCTTAAAGATAACACCGACATTTTATAAAAATTCAAAACGTCTAATGTATACATGCATTACACTCTCTCGTCGAATGACTTGTCATTTGATAAGATGTGTTGCAATTCGCGCTCATATAGATCTACATATGACAAATAACTAAAATAATATGAAAATAAAACAAATTTTAATATATGTATGTATTTATGTATATATCTATATGGTTAGAATGTTCGCTTTCTGATCATGAGACCCGGGTTCGAACCTTGCCATGGTCAATTTATTTGGCAGGAGACTTTCTGATGTTATCGGTCTAGAGTGGTGATAGTCCCAGCGTGCGGCGCCTTTGGAAAGTACCTGAATACCATACCATGGGTTGGCCCAAGCCTTGTGAGTGAAACTGGGTAGACGTAACACTTGTGGACCGTCGATAGCTGTGATAGTACGAAGCCATAATTCATCGTGACCTAGGGCTTCAGAGTGCTGGTGTCGTTCAGATTGTTGACCATTCTAGTTAATACGCTCTCTCCCAGAAACTATAACTAAGATCTACTAATCATAATTGCTATATTAACAAGAGTTTGGCTCTGGGGGTGTTGAACAAACACAAATGTGCCTAATCTAGCGTCTGCAATAGGGATTAGCTACCCACCCTATTAGACCGGTATCCTCGAATACGAGTGGCCAGATATTATTATATGCATGTATGTATATGTGTATTAAGTGTATATATTTTATTTCGAAATTAGTTTCTATTTGTCACATAACCTGGCAATATCTAAAATGAAATTTTAACTTTTAAACATACTTTTAAATTATTTTCCGCCATAACGAAATATATTGTTTAATCGCAGGTGTTTCTCTTTTGTAATAATTCAAACACGCTGAAAATTTCTGTAAAATTTTAGCGCTAGAAACGTATTTTTTAATATTTTTTTAATATTTAATTCTGCTTTCAAATATTGCATGTATTACAGCTGATATCCATAAAAACTTTCCATGTCAATTCGTAATGAAAAAAAAATAGATTGCAGGAAATGATATTCTGGGAGTTAACTGTTACTATCGCGTGATGGTGCATGATTGTTTTTTTTTTGTTGTTTGTTTCTTGATCAGAAGCAGAAATTCCAAAAAAACTTTACTTTCTACTTTGGTCATGTGACATGTCTGAAACTGGGTCTCACTTCCATCTTGATTTTTCCCACCATTTTTAGCTACAAAGACGAAACGCGAACAATACTGACACGCAAAACCCTCACTTAAAACCATTTCTCAAGACTTTAAGGATATAACGTTTACAATCCAAACCTTGGATTAATTAACTTAATTAAATTAAAATCCCAAGATTGCCATTACAATCCTGAGTGTAATTTCCCTGGTGAATCCATCATGACTATTGATTAATTAACAGAAAGACTACGGCAGCAGCAAGTAATGCCACTTCAACAATTACAATAAAACATGGCATTAGTAGAAGCTGAATTGATAAAAAAATTACGTAGCTTTTTAGAAAAACAAAAAGCAAATAGAATTTTCTTTCAAAATGGAAAAAGCGTAAATAAATTACTAGATTTTTGACTCTTTAAAAAATATATGAGCTTGTGACACTTATAAAAACTTAATTAATAAATAACAATTATTTATAAAGATGAAGATGATTCTTGTGTGGATAACAAGAACTGAGAGATTAGTAAAAATGCCCCTGAGTATAATATCCTGAGAAGTTTTTTACAGGTTCAGGAAATGATTTTGTTGTGTCCTGCCTTGCTGCCTACAATCAGTTCACATTGGCATATGACGTGTGTTCTCGGTATGTACAAGTGCTTATGTTTAAATAACGAAAAAATCGTCACGCTGATCATGCCTTTAAAACTTTCAAAGCTGGGGAAACATGTCGTTCTCCAACATTAACGAGTTTTCCGTTACGCTTCCGCAGCTTTTAAGACCAATGTTCCCGTTCTCAAAAAGTATGATGATGCGTTCATTCACGTCACTGCACAAGCTGTGATGACACCCAACATCGGCTATTGCGTATACACCTGGCTCGCTATGTTCACATGTTAGGGCCGTAATCGAATTTAACAAAGAATAAGGATAACTGTTTTTCTAGACAGTGGTTGGAAAGAAGCAAACAATACGATTTCTCACTTAATCAGCAATGTCTTCCTTCGGCTTCGAGAAGGCAAACTCCTACAGTCTTAATAACTTCCGGACACGGAAAAAAGAAAACTTACATGGTCGTATCTTTGTCTGCTGACTTACTCCCTGCTGGTTCTTTCCCCACTGACTGCTGCTTCACTAAGACATCCACCACCCCTATTTGTCCACTTGTGTTCCGAAAAAGAACAATTCAGCTTTTGAGTGGTCAGTTTTTCGAAGGATCTACTTTTATGATTATCTAAAATCACTAATAAAATTTTATGTTTGACTATTCAAAGATGGGTTAGAGACAGGATTCCTGAGAAATCCTGGTCATTAAATTGACGCAAAGTTTGGCTGGAGACAAGATTCCTAAGAAACCCTGGTCATTACATTGAATTAAAAAGAACAGGAATCTATTTATCTCTTAAGGATGTGGGAGAAATCGTATTACTACATTTGACAAATTTTCCGCTATGTTTTCCCAGTTTATTTAGATCGATGTTATAATGTTTTCGGTTATTGTTCAGATTATACTTAAAAAGTAAGGAGCAATAAAAGTTAATTATATAAAAGTTGGCCATAAAAGTGTTGTTTTAGAATCTTGTGGCACTACATAGACATACTTGCCCCTAATAAAAATAGGTATTTTTTTAAAAAAATGCTTTTGTAGATTAGCTTTCTTTAGATATTCCTTAGTCTACAACATTTGTCAAATGAAAAATACTGATTTTTAAAATTGATATTAGCAGGAAGGCTCCGGTTTATAATATCAATGCAGTATAAGATCGATCACGGAGTTTTATATAGTTATCGAAACTTAGCTATTTGTTTGCAAATGTCAAGTTTCAATGATATTTACATACGAAAACAAACTTTCTTTTAAAAAATCTTTTAGATGAAGAAAAAATGCATATATATATGTATATATATATATATATATATATATATATATATATATATATATATATTGGCTAGCAGCCCTAGTAGACGGGTAACCTCGAATACTAATGATTTGACAATGTCCTTAATGTTAGATCATTAATATAATGCAGACAGGGGAGGACTGTGAAGAAACATATTGTAGGACTGTAAAGAAACACATTTTAGGACTGCGAAGAAACAAATTGAGAACTGAAGAAAAACATTGTAGGACTTTGAAGAAACACATTGATGACTTTGAAGAAACACATTCAGGACTTTGAAGAAACACATTGAGGACTGCGAAGCAACACATTGTAGGACTGCGAAGAAACACATTGTAGTGCTGCGAAGAAACACATTGAGGACTGCGAAGAAACACATTGTAGTGCTGCGAAGAAACACATTGAAGTGCTGCGAAGAAACACATTGTAGTGCTGCGAAGAAACACATTGTCGGCCTGCGAAGAAACACATTGTCGGCCTGCGAAGAAACACATTGTAGTGCTGCGAAGAAACACATTGTAGTGCTGCGAAGAAACACATTGAGGACTGCGAAGAAAAACATTGTAGTGCTGCGAAGAAACACATTGTAGGATAGCGATGAACCCCATTAAAGACTGTGAGGAAACACATTGAGAACTGCGAAGAAACACATTGTTGGACTGAGAAGAAATACATTGAGGACTGTGAAGAAATACATTGAAAACTGCAAAGAAATACATTGAGAACTGCGAAGAAACACATTGAGGACTGCATTTACCTTTCCATCAAATTCACTTAGAAAAACATGAATCCATCTCCTCCACCATCTATAGGTTAAGTAGTAGAGCTTATATTTGTAAAAATCAGTGTTATACTCAAAAGATTAATGGATTATTCAGTTTCAAAAAAATATTATACTTAGAATTCAAAATATGTTTCAGCTTTAAACAACCTACAAAGGGTTGATAAGACATAAAAAATACAAAATTTATCAGAGAGAGGAATGGCCATTACCAACAACCTTCATAGGTCTTCCTGATAGACATGGCTTCAATTACATTGATTTAAAATAAATCTGCAATATGATGCCGTTTCTGATTTTTTCATCTCATTTAATATTGCATATCGAACAATACCAACAAATATGAATCGAATCCACATGAAACATCTGATATCAATAAGCAGATTATGTCTTTTTGCCATGAAGTAAAGTTGAGAGAACGACAGATTTATAAGTGACAGTCTTACCCGCTAAAGATAGGCCAGTGACGTTCCAAAAACATTTGATAAAACCTTCCAAATGTTGAACGAGATTTAGTTAAATCTGCCAATATTTTTGAGCGTCTTCGGAGAAGGTAAAGAGTCGATATATGCATGTATGTAATATTCCACTTAGAAGGTACCAAGTTTACACTTAGATGGTTCAAAGTATGAGAAGGATCCATCTTTTGCAGGCAAAGAAATTTCTCTTTGACGTTTTCTGTGTATATGTGCCAGGCAAACGTCCACTCTTTTACAACCATTACTGATTTTTACATATTTTATTTTTAAAATATATATATATGTCAAGCTTTTGAATCTTTCTATACTTCGTTTTTGATTGGTTATTCTAGCTTTTGTAACAATGTTTCCCCCCAGTGTAGGATCGTTAATTAATCTGAAACTTTTAAAACCATTTATTTTCTTTTCAGCATCATCACTTGATAAGACACAGAGTGTGTTGAAACAAAATGGCTATTTTTGTAGTGATTTTATAACATACTTATGTTATAATTTTTTTTTTATAAAAATAATTATATATATATATATATTGGTTTATTAGATAATTTCTTTTTGTCTATTTATTTAACTCCTATTCTCACCAAAGATTTTAACAAATTAGTCAATAATTTAAAACGAGGAAAATAGTTATAGACAAACAATAGAACTATAAAAAATCACTACTGTAAAAAGTCTTTCGCGTGTTTATTTAAAAAAGAAACAACGAATTTATGAGACACCTCAATATTTATAAATATTCAAATTAACTTAAAATGCAATGAATTATTTACATAAATTAAAACTAATTGTTTCCAGAAGAAACATCTGATAATGTATGGAGATTTTGAAGGTGAATTTTGTCGCAAGTCAGTTTGGGTAGACGGGTTTCCTATAGAAAGATGATAAAAGTGTTTCGCTTGTATCTTCATGAACTATGGCAGGTTTCTAAGACAGTTAATAAATCATCTTTTAAAGACTCACAGATATTTTATCATGATTGTTATTTACGGGTAAATTACCATACTTTAATCTATATTTGATTATCTTTTCGTCGCACACACCTCGTGGGAATTTGCACACGCGTATGTAATGTACGAGCGTATGTAATGTGATGTATATATGCGTATGTATTTGTTGTGTGTGACTGACTTACATGTGCTTCAGTCATTTAATGTACACAAGCAAGTAATTAGACATTGTTTGTAATAATATATTAGAAAATACTTTCCCTCCACTCAGTCTGGACAAATCGTACCCTGCGCTGAGTAATAAAATAATAAAGTTGGAGACAAGAATTAAAAAAAGGAAAACTTTATCACCAGTTTCGTGTCTGTTAAACTTTTTGCCGAACTGTGAGTATGTGTTTCACTTAGCTACAATGAGAGTGATTAAGTAGATTATCTATAATTCGCGGTAATATTTTTTCCTTAATTAAGTAGGTTATCTATAATTCGCGGTAATATTTTTTCCTTAATTAAGGAGATTATCTATAATTCGTGGTAATAATTTTTCCTTAATTAAGGAGATTATCTATAATTCGCGGTAATATTTTTTCCTTAATTAAGTAGATTATCTATAATTCGCGGTAATATTTTTTCCTTAATTACGTAGATTATCTATAATTCGCGGTAATATTTTTTCCTTAATTAAGTAGGTTATCTATAATTCGCGGTAATATTTTTTCCTTAATTAAGTAGGTTATCTATAATTCGCGGTAATATTTTTTCCTTAATTAAGGAGATTATCTATAATTCGTGGTAATAATTTTTCCTTAATTAAGGAGATTATCTATAATTCGCGGTAATATTTTTTCCTTAATTAAGTAGATTATCTATAATTCGCGGTAATATTTTTTCCTTAATGTTGAAACTTGAATAAAGCATGGAATAATAATAATACAACACAAAATGTACTTAAACAAAATGTATTGAACAAAGAAAGTATACACAATATTTACAGAGAGTTTGGTATATTCTTGGGAAGACCGTTCCTGTAGAATGGGTTGACTTAGTCGCAGTCGGGCAGAGTCTCTGGATTGGATCACTTCTTACTTCCTCCCTCGTCTTCCCGGTACCAACCATATTTATATGGTCGGTACTCCACTATGTAAATTAGGTGGATCGTACCACAACACCCCCCTTCCAAGCCTTGGAATCCCTTTTGGATTTCAAATTGGCTTCCTATATGGGTTGATGATTATGGCTATTTCTTTGTAGATCCATTTGCCTAATTTTAATATTTTTTCCGTTTTGGATTCATGTCCAATGATTCCGTGAACTTCCGTTTCCTACCGGATCTTCTTGGTTCAATAGTATTCTGTGGAGGTTCTACCTGAAACATATCATACATTATATCAATGGGATCTTCCTCCTCATCCGGTATACTCTCTTCATGCTCTATAACGTAACATTTTTTAAGTTGATTCTGGTGCCTTTTATGAGTATTCTTCGGCCCTTTAATTATGTAAATCAGGTCACCGATTCTCTTGTCCACTATGCCTCGCTCCCAGAACTCAACGTTGTTTTTGTAGCACTTGAAAAACACCTTCTCTCCGGGAGTGTATCCTTTTCTCGCTGTATACATGGTATTCTTTACTCTATTTTTTTCCTGGCAAAAGCTTGTCAAACACTGACTTAACTTTCCTAGCGAACATTAGTTCAGCTGGTGCCATGTTTGAGTGTGTTCTCGGGTTTGGCGTGATTCTGTATACTTGTAAGAATTGCAGCAGCGCCTTTTCCGTTGGAACTCCTGGGGCTTTCTTCAGAGCTCGCTTTAAAGTATCGACAAATCTTTCTGCGAGTCCATTAAACCTCGGATGATACGGAGGCGTCGTTATGTGGTTAATTTGATATAACTCACAAAATTCCTTAAATTCTTCAGAAGTGAATTGTGTACCATTGTCACTCACAATACACTCTGGCACACCGAACCGTGCAAATAGTTCATGCAAAAAAGTTGTTGTGGTATTGGACGTAGGCTTTTTACAGCGTAGTACTTGTAAAACTATCTACCACTATTAAGTAGTAAAAATCTTCTACTGGACCAGCGAAATCATTGTGTAATCTTGTCCACGGATGATCCGTCTTGGGCCATGGTTTATGTACTATAGGTGGTGCCTTAGCTGCTAACGCACAACCTTTACATCGATGAACCATGTTTTCGATATCCACATCCATTCCTTTCCAATACACAAATCTTCGCATTAAGCTTTTTGTTCTATTAATCCCCGGGTGACCCATATGAAAGTCCCGTAGTATTCTTTTCTGCAACTTTTTTGGTATTACTACCCTCTCACCAAATAATAACACTCCGTCACCTATTGAATAAATCTCCTTCACTTTTTGGTCATTTGCTACCATTTTGCCTTTTATTTCTAAAATGAAATCACCGCTTTCAGCTTCTTTTTTAATTTCCTTTAGAGTAACCGGTAGCTCTCTTACAATGTTGTTTACCATGCTTTTCACCTCATAATCTGCTCTGATAGTTGCAATAATTGATTCTTCGAATCTTTCTTCTTGACTCGGTACGAGTCTTGATAAACTATCCGTATGAATTATATTTTTGGATGATAGGTGCTTTATGTGAAAATCATAATTGAGAAGAATGGTTCCCCATCTTAACAGACGATTTGCTGTATAAACGGGTAACCCTTCCTTTGAACCAAAAATAGTGATCCGTGGTTTATGATCCGTTTCAAGCATAAAATGTCTGCCGTGGATGTACCTGTGAAATTTTTGTATGACAAAAATGATACTCAGTGCCTCTTTTTCCATCTGAGAGTAACTTCTTTCTCCTGGGAGCAAAGTTCTCGAAGCGTGTGCAATTGGTTTTCTAGAACCATCTGGCATTATGTGTTGAATACACGCTCATATCCCGTATGAACTAGCGTCACTTGCCACTACAATATCCAGTTTTGAATTGTAATGGGTTAAAAAGAGGTCGGACGTAAGCATTTTCTTTATTTCATCAAAGGCTTTCTGACATTCTACCGTCCATTCCCATGCCTTGTCTTTTTTTAGCAGTTCATTCAACGGAGCTCTTAAATTGTACATTCCTTTAATGAACGCTTGATAATAATTTGCAAGCCCTAGAAAACTCTGTAGCATCGCCACATTAGTGGGCGTCGGCATGTCTCTAATCGCAATGGAGCTTTCCGGATCTGGACATTTGCTATTTTTGTTGATTATGTGCCCTAAATACTTAATTTCCTCCAAACCAAATTCGCACTTTGACTCTTTGACTTTAAATCCAAAGTCCTGAATCTTTTTAAATACTTGATTGAGATGCTCTCGATGTTAGTCGACGGTTTCGCTCCTTACTATGATATCGTCTAAGTAAGCACACGCAAAGTCTAAATCATTCAACATGACGTCCATAGCTTGTTGAAAAATGGCTGGTGCCACTTTAATACCAAAAGGAAGCCTGTTGTACTTGAATAACCCTCTATGCGTGTTTATCCCTAGTAACTTCGAACATTCCT